TGCTCTATGCGATCATTTGAAACCGTCTCTTCTTCCTCCAAAATTTCCTCGTCTTCCTCGGTAACCTCTTCCTCCTCGAAGACCTCTTCCTCCTCGAAGACCTCTTCCTCCTCGAAGACCTCTTCCTCCTCGAAGACCTCTTCCTCCGCAGTATCCAGTTCTGTCAAATCACTGCTCTCATCAACGGTATCCTCAGCGGATATAGAATCAGTCCGCTCCCAAGCATCTCCTTGTGTATTTGCTCGACGGCGTTTTTGATTATATCTTTGCTCAGGTTGAGAGTTCCATGCAAGATTGAAAGTTCCAGATGGAGCTGCAGAAGCTCCAGTATTCGTGCAATATGTACCACTCTCTCGGCCATGGCAATGAAGTGTGCAATCGACTTTCGCTTTGAAACACTTACAACGCACTGTAGCACAGTTGCCTTTACACCCACAGCGTACTTGGATGAGTTCTGCAGGGGACTGACGGCGTGCAGCTTCCCGAAGAGTAAGTTCTCGATTGCTACCCTTCTTGAATTCCGGAATCTGATGACGAATCGTAGAGGCGAGAAGGTCCATATTTTTGGTACGATAGAATCCTTGAAGAATACCATATTGACACTGCAAAGCATAACGATTGCCATGCTTAACCTCAATCACCCTGCAGAAGATACGCTTGTTGTCTGTTGAGCATCTATCTTCGACTGGAATCTTCAATCGTACATAATCGCCTTTTTCAAACACCTCGACCTTGTTGACTTTATTGTATCTCTGCTCCATCGCAATGACCTTGCGTTGGGTATTTGCAATAACCTCTTCATTTAGTGATTGGACAGTGGCATTAATAGCAATGTCCCTCTGCTCATCAGTTTGCGTATTGTCATCAGCTTGAGACCTCTGTAGAATTTCCGCTTGAGTTGCTTCAGGAATGGCCCGAATAACAGCAGCCGCCTGCTTAGTCACTGGTGATTGCTGGTTCACAGTATCTCCCATATCACTCATGGTTGCAAGGAGTTGTGGATCAATAGACAAGAATTCGTGAGTGGAGTTTGAAAGAGTATGTGTGAGCGGAAGCGGAAGACCGTCCGTATCATGGTGCATTTCGATCGCAACAGCTGTTGACCGCTGAGTTGTTGATATACGTGGACGATCAGGCATAAGTTGCTTGAAGACAATCTCATATGGACTCTTTGAGGTTGTTGAGTGGACTTGTCGATTCATAGAGAGCATTGCCTCGGGTAGTGCAAGCCACCATTCAATTGATTCCATCTCTGTCATCCAAGCGAGGATCTTTGACTTCAACACTCCGTTGGCTTGCTCAATGAGGCCATTTGTCTGAGGGGTTCGAGGCTTGCTATGGACAACAGGTATACCATGGTGTTTCACAAGACGATCACAGGCTCCTTTGAACTCAGTTCCATTGTCGCATTGAAGAATACCAGGGACACCAAACATTCCAATAAACCCTCCCAAATGCAATGCAACACTTTCACTTTCTTTTGTTTCCATTGGATAGGCGGCAGAAAATTTGCTGAAGTGATCGCGAATATGCAGGCACCATTTGTATTTCTGACCCAGATGCCGAAAGTCGATGAGATCTATCTGAAGACGCTCCCAGAGTTCCTTCACAATTATTGACTCCAATGGAGCAGCGGTTTTTGCAGATCGTGTTTTGGCACATGTCGCACAGTGCTCCAGTAAATATGAAACTTCCATCTTGGTAATTCCATAGTACTTGCGGTCAATCTCAGCCCATGTCTTGTCCCGGCCTGCATGCATAAGTTCGTTGGCATGCGCTTTGACTATTAAGTCAAATACTTCATGTTCGCGAGGGCAGAATCGTGGTGTCTTGTATTTTCCTTCAGGTTGACGGTAGAGTTGGCCATTGATAATTTGATAGCTCTGAGATGCAGTATATCTAACCCTTTGTTGCTCAATGGTTTCTGCTGGGTGTTTCGGATTATCCGCATAGAGCTATATTGTTTTCCAGTTTAACATCAGATTGATTCAATCATGAATAAATGTAACTAACTAACCTTCATTTGAAGTTGCTTGAATCCATCTAAGCGGAATCGATTCTTGTACCCGGGTGAAGTTATGTACCGTATAAAGGCAGCATGAGCTTCGCTACTGAAAGGCTCTTGGCCGGAGGTTGCTGGAATCGATGCAATAGTGGACCCGCCTCTGGATGTAGCAGTCAACTCAGAATTTGATGCAGTGGACATTGTAGTAGAGGTAGACAGTCGAAGCACTGGATGGACTATATGATATTGAAGTGAATGTAGTTGTAATCGATGTGGATTCTGATATTCGTAGGTACTGACGAAGTCTTGTGAACAGCAGAATCAATTCCTTATAACTAGCGATCCTGACAAGGCGAGAATAGACTGGCAACAAGGTAATCAGGGTGGCAAGCAGACATGTGCGCGCAAGGTATCTGGATATTCATTCAGCTGGGCTGAATGTGCTTAGTTGCGTTGATTTCAGTGCGCATGCCTGCCCTTACATGCATGCGAATATATGCGTGCAAGGCATTCATGTACACTCCGCGTGCAAGGCATTCCGCATACAAGGCATTTGTGCACACTCCGCGAACGGACTAGTCAGCTCGTGGAGTGGTTTTGCAGTAGAATTCTCCGTGAACTAACTAGTCAGCCCACGGAGTGGGTAGACTCCGTGAGCTGACTAGTCAGTTCAAGGAGCCCAGTTACTCCGCGGGTTGACTAGTCACTCCGCGGACTGACATCCTCCGTGAACTGACTAGAACAATATATAAACAATTATCGAAATCCTGCTCACACCACTTACCTTCAAAGTCGATACTTTAGAAGAAGAAACTAGGTGTCCTGAATCTACTATAGTACCCGAGATCACTTCGTGCAGCAAAACGAAGCCAGGAGGAAATGGCCTGGTCTGCGGGGCTGATATTTTCGGAGGTTTCTGGAGTTGGTATGTGTTAGACAGCTTGCCAGAGTCTTGATTGTCTCCAGCCACGCTCTTGACCGAATGGCAAACATAGCAATTTGACGGGAAACTGTATTTAGCTGCCGCTTCGTGTTACTGGCAGGATTTTGTTGTGGTGTTGGCAGCTTGTGACGATCGTACAAACAAATAATCGGTTTTAAATGTGCGGTAGGACTATTCGTGACCGGTTTATTCCCTTGTCTGTGTGTTAGCCCTGGCGTTTGCGGTTGGACCATACTTTTCCAATGGTGCATCGTGCAACACAGCAATGGCAGGCGGTATAGTCTCAACTGTTTCTGAGAGGGTTTCGTTCAACTGGCAGAGGTTACGTTATGATTCAGTTCGCAGTTTCCTTCTAGGCTGTACACTCTGCTCCCCAGAGAAAATAGCGGCAGAAGACATAAGAACTGTGACTCATCATGGTGTAAATTAAAGCTCTCTATAGATAGAATCTTCCAGCCAAAGACCTCCAATCCGGCGACCTCCACCGGATCGCACTCTACAATGCTTCCCAAGCGCCCTTCGAAACACGAACCCGCCATTCACGCTCAACTGAAGCAACATCCTTTGGCGGCTGTCCTAACTCAATGTAGACATGATCGAACACTCCTTTACCCATCGACCCTTCCCATTCCACCATATCCAGTTCAATAAGCATGGATGAGTCAGGTCTCACTTTGTACGGCGTTTCGACAGCTGTGGGAAGTTCTTCAAGGAATTCCGAAAAACATTGTTCAACGGTCAACCGGAGATCCTAGAAAATGAGTAACTGTTAGTGAATCTTAGAGCGGTGGATACTGATATCGATTGTATCCACGTTGCTGGAGCGAACAAGGAATCCACAAATGGGCTCAACATTCTCACGTTCGAAGTGAGATCTGTAGAGTATAACGTAGCCTGGAGGAAGGGTTTGGGAACTTCGAATCGTTCCCACCAGTGTTGCCTGGACGTGATGTTTGCGAAATGTTAGAACAGTCGGAATGAATTAAACCGCTTGCGGGGATACCAACTGACCTCGCTCACACACGACATTTGGAGTGGAGTGGCGTAAATCTGTTAACTGAAAACGCGCGCTTGTTAGAGAGCCTTGGAAGGGAGGGCAAATGTTGAGGATGGTGGTTGTAGGGAATCAATGCCGTGTTAGCGCTAGGGCAGATGTGTCGCGTATATGCAGGGTAATCACCCCCAAATCTTCTTTCCACCTCCTCCTGTGTTGTCACTAGGACGGAATGGATAGTCAGAGGCCAGCCAATTGAGTACTGTCTTGCTGAAAGGCTGACCGAAAGCTGCACGTTATAATTCAACACTCCGGTCATGTTTGTAAGTTGTAACCCTTATATACAACTTCATCAAGTCAGCGTGTATGTATTACGTCTTGTTACAGTACAAGCGGTCAGGGAAAACGAAACTGCTTACCACCCTTGGCGATGCAGCTGAATCATTCTTGACCTTACCTGATACAACGACATTGAGACTCTGCATCACACCCAAAAATTCATTTGTCCGCAATCAACAAATTCCGCGGCCCCAGCGGTAGCATAACATCGAATACCATTGGTTCAAGCGGCCTCGAAACGTCTCTGGGTTTCCGCAATTTTTGTGTAAGATCTCCTGACGTTTTCACACATAATCCTGATGGCTAATAGTAGTAACTCCAGCACCTTCATTGGCATACAAATTTGTGCTTTCTTCCATAGCTGTGCGCGCCTCAGCTCAAAGACGCTCTGCCATACAACCCCAGTCTCATGTATCTGATGAGACTCGGTCTGGGCTCTGCCAACATTTTCACCATGGTCGACTCTCGCCTCATCCCGAATGACACCATCTCCGTAATTATCCTTGCCAACTGTTGAGGCGACTTATTGAGTACGGGTATCACGTGCTTGCTTAATGTCAGGCATGGCTAGACGCAAGCATGACGTGGCATGCCGTTTGTATGTTAGCGTTTTTGGCGCGACGCCTTAAGCCTCGCGTTCCATGTCACGTATACACGAGTCAATTGATCAGTACACGAGTGTCACCTTCTCCATACGCGTCCATACGTCACCGTACGCGCCCGTACGAGCATCAATTGGTCGGTACAACACCAACCTGCCACAAACGATTTATTCCCTTCTTTATCTTAGCTACAACGTCATTCTCACACGGATATTCGTCGCCCGTGAATGGAGCAAATATTGTAGAAAATATGCAGGGCTGCGAACTTCATTCGCAAAAGGTGAACAGCGGAGCACATTTTCCTGCAGCTACCGTACCGCTATGCCATTCCGTTCGCAGCCCTATCACTACTCCTACATTGGATGATCTCCCAAAGCGTCTTTTTTGTCGCCGTACGCGTAATGAGCCACGGGAGCGAGCAACTATATACCAGCGGCGACGACAGAGGGAACAAGTCATTTCGGACCCTGGATACTCGCCCATAGCATTTATCCCAAGCATTTATCCCAAGCATGATCCTTGCGACGTTGATGATTATGGCGGTAGTGACCCATACCAGAAGGAAGTACATTGTAGGGATACCGTTTGCCGCTTCGTGCAGTGCGGCTATCAGTGCTGCGTGCCATGCAAATAATAGAGTGGATATGTTTGATAACCGTGTGAAGTGGGGGGTAGTGAGTGCAGCTGACGGGGTTGGGTATTGTACATTCAGAGTAGCAGAGGTAGGTGAAGTTGTTGAGGGGCAGTATTATGCGTGATGGCGCGCAATTAAACACATATGTATCAGAAATGTTCATGTAATGCGGGCTAGAATATTGGAGTTAGATTTGTTAGAGATTACCGTATGAATCGACGGACAGATAAGCCTGGGTTTGGTTAAGACAAAAGATATTCTTCAATTCTTCTTGGAGTCTTTCCTGATCTCTCGGTACATATAAAGCCATAAAATGCCGTCGTTCTTACCGTATTGACAAAAGACTGTCGCGGTATGTGGCTACTCATATCTTATGAAATGTCACCAGCGTATCCGTTCTGTGCAATCTTCAGGACGGACTGTACAGCGTTACAGCAGAATCTTCAGCACTCACCTACAGGCAACAGATGACACTGACCGTGGTGATCGCGTGCCTAACATTTAGATGCAAAGCGCCTGTAGTTTGCCAATTTCCACCCTCTCCCTCTGGGTATCGATTTGCTCAGCTGTAGGTACTGCCGATCTAGCATCATGGACATCACTCGCCATGGAGGTGACAGTCCCTCATAGTGTCATGTCCCATTTGTTTTCCCGCGGAGGTAGCGTGGCTCAACGGTGTAGTCTCCACCCGAACCATTATTGCAGAACCATGGCTGCAAAGTACCCTGAGGTCGAAACTCAGTCACGGCACCTCCGCCCCCTTTTTTTTGATCCCCACCATCCGACTTTTGATTTCACCCCGCTCTGGTTTGCCTAGGTTGAGAACAGATAAGCACATACTGCATTGCTCTCATAAACCATATTTTCTCGTTTCTCTCTAGCTCGCTATTATTGCAGAACCATGGCTGCAAAGTACCCTGAGGTCGAAACTCAGTCACGGCACCTCTGCCCCTTCTTTTTGGTCCCCCACCATATACATTCCTGCAATGTTTTTTTTGCAACACACGCAGCCACGCTCGGTGCCGATAGCAACAGTTGCATGCCCAGCTATAAAATTCAATCTTAGTAGATGTCACAACACCGCCTGTTTATTTTCGTCATCTTGCATTGCTCGCTCTTGTATAGCCTACCTGACTTGGTGTGACTTCTTGGGTTTAAGCTGTGCTTCTGAACAAATGGTGATGGTATGGATGCAACGTAGTATCGACATATGTTGTGTCGATAATACGTGGTCAATAGCAGCGGCATTCAACATTCTGTGATGAGAAGACTGCAAGAAAACCTGTAGAGAGCAGCTCAGGGACTTGATATGTTCCCACGAAAAGTTGGGTATTACGGTGTCGATTGTAAATTAGGTACATTCCTTTTGTGTGTGAGTTTTGTGCTGGTAAAATCCAAGTTCTTGACGGATCACCAAGTCTACTCTAATGACTTTTCAGCGTTGTTACGATCTTTAAACAGTAGAGATCAAACTCGCAGCCTGAGATCAATGATCATACTGCGTAAATGAAACGCTCGTCCAAATGCAAGTACTGGTACGTATCCGTCTCGTACAGAATGATAAGAATGAGCTGTGGCATTTTGTCTCCAATGTCGTCGACCCTGGTAGCGTAGACTCAAATGTGTGTTGATCACCAAGCACTCACTCGAAATTCTTCATGCGTGTAGCTGATAGTTTGGTTTTCCGTTTTGTTTTCCCGCGGAGGTGGCGTGGCTCAACGGTGTAGTCCCCACCCGAACCATTATTGTAGAACCATGGCTGCAAAGTACCCTTAGGTCGAGACAGCCACAGCACCTCCGCCCCTCTTTTTTGTGGTCCCCCACCATTGCACCCAACCTCTTTTTGCTGTCACCATTGCGTTCCGTCATTGTTTGTATTCACACCGCCTGCATTTATTTCCAAATATTGCTATCGAAGTTCCAGACCCATCTGCCTGCAGTATTCGGCTCGGCAGGAATCGCACTACAGCCTGTTGATTCGCTTATACCGTGGCACAATCAACATTGAACTTTTACACTGGTCGACTTAAGGACTTAGAGCGGTCTTTAAAGTACGAAAAACACTTTTCAGTCTTCAATGGGTATGAGCCACCGGAGCAGACTGTATTGCTGCTGTCAACCAATCTTCAGAATCACTTCATCCAGTTTGGTTTCAAAAATTGTCTAGACCCAATTTTCAGCATGCTTCTCAACCATGGAACACGCGGAAGATATCATATAGAGGTCGAGAAGTTTGACAATGTATGTATCGATCAAAACAATTTGGTAACAAGATTTTATCCCAACTAACCGATCCTCACATCTACTCATCTCTGCTTACGGTTTCCTCTGACCGGCCATCTCTCGTCCTCTCTGTCCAGCTGTATGTCGCTTCACTCAATATGCCACTGTCCCATCCCTCCTCTGCATCTTAACATTGTCTCGAAATCTCTGCATCGCATCGGTAACTTGACCAGCCATCACCAAACTCCTCTAGCTCGTGGTATTACAAAGTGTATCTGGGCCGTGTAGTCGGTACGCATTCTATCCCAGCTGCTGTCAGTTACTCTCCTTTGGATTGGAAATTTGTAAAAACTTGCATTGTAGCTCTGACACCGCAAATTGGTGCCACAGGCATGGCTGTGCGGTCGGATCTTCCTAATCTCCTTGAAGGTATCTTCCGAAATATAATTGCCATCATCATCATCTTGATTGACGTCGTCGTCGTCTTCATCGCCTTCCTCTTCAACTTCTTCAGCTGCGTCCTCGTCGTTCACGTCCTCACCAGACACCTCAGGGTCATTTGTGTCGTTATCATTGTCGTCAGATTCAATCTCTTCAGCCTCAAATGAAACATCGCTGGACGAAATACGGGTGTAACTTAGCCCTTGGTGATAAACGCTTTCCGTACAGGATCATAACTACAGCCGGTAATCCTACCGTAAGGATGATCTTTTTCCTCAGAATTGGATGAGTTGGAATTATCTGAACCGCCGGAAACATCAGAACAGCCAGAAAGATCCGAACCACCAGAAGAACTCTCCTGCGAAGAGGTGCCAGGTACGAAATCAGAACCAGAGTCCGAGTTGGACTCGGGAAAGTCTGTGTCGGGATTGTGGCTATTGGGTTGATGTGCCTAAATGCGTTTGGTGCTAACGCTGTTCGAATCGTCGTCATCGTCGTGGTGGGGATTTTTGCGTTTCGTCATGTTGGTAGGGATCAGAAGACAGCAAATGCGGAACTAGGACTTAGTGGGCTCTGACGTATGATTTGAGAAGGATGTGATGCCGTTTGGTATATATATAAAGAGACTAAAGAGCTTTCATATGGTCGGTGTTTGTTACTAGATCAAAGACTGACAATGGTGGGCACAACAGTGAATCGCCTTAACAAAAAAAACTGATTTGAGACACCGATCAGATGAAATGCACGGCTTCACTCACCGTTTACAAACGTCAACGCTGAAGTTCAACTCGAATACATGAATGGACCATATCACCCTGTAGGTATGGGCATTGTTCAACAGTCCCGAGATACCGTATATGATCCGACATGCATGCAACCATCCCAAAACATGGCCTCATATGTGCATGAAGAGTAAGTGGTAGGGTGGTATACGTTTAGAAGGACGCTGAGGAAAGCAAAGTTGATGCAGAGGAGTAATACATCCTTCAGAGACACGATTCACCGTGAATGCGACAAAGCCGGGAATTCAGATTTTGTGGTAAAGCTGCAGGGGTCAAAAGTGCATTTGAGGATGCAGTACAGAATGCTCTGTTTCGGTATATCGCTTTGGTGGGAAAACACACTAAGCAAGCCTTGACAATGGCTTGATCGACGTACCGCAAAACAACCCCCCGAAGCCCGCCCTTTCATCTCTATTACTGCACCATTACCACAACAATACCAGCCCAGCCGCCTGATACATCAACAACGCAACATACTTCCACAGTGTTTCAAATCTTCAGTCAAAGCGATCCAACATGGCTCAAACTCTCCTCCCAGAAGGTTTTGTATACTGCTGTCGCTTCTGGCACTTCGCAGAACGATATCAAACTACACCAAGCCCAGATCATTCTTGATCATTACACATTCATATCAACCGCCGAAGAAATCATTTTCGCAAACTCGCACCCCATGCCGCTGCTAAGCTACTTCCATAAGTTAGACCGAGCAAACAGGAAGCCTGGTGGAGAGAGTGGGTGTGGGCCCAGATGGAGGAGAGGTGGAGAATTCTTCCCACAGAGGAGGCTACATGTGTTGTACCGACCCAATTGATGCTCGTACGGGCGCGTATGGAGAAGTATAGAGACGTATCACTGGTGAAGGCGGTGAAAACGACGTCAAGAATGAGGAAGATGAGGAACCTGTCGCTGCGTACTGAAGACGCTGCAATACTAGGTCAGGCTTCCGTGGTTGTTTTATGTCCGGCATTGTCCGCCGCTTACCGATCTTCTTTAGAAATCTCGTTGCGTACCGTTGGTGAGGCAACGTCATATCTTGCTCTTGGGATATCGAGATATCTATTGGATAATTTCTATAAATTTGGCTTAAAATACAACCTGTTTACTTCCATACTGGAATGAAGCGTATGAACATCTTTGAAGAGCTATTTCGAACGAAAATCAGATGTTATCTCCTTGTATAAACGATTCTCTAATTGCTATTCTCTCATGTTATGCTGGCTTTGTCGTACAGTAATGTAACAAAGAACTTCACCCACTGTGTAGTATCCTATGTCACCTCCCCGGGCATAGATATCGAGATCAACAATGCATTTCCCGCATGTCTATCGACTTCTGTTGCTGTGGATCCTCTCGCCAACGCCATACGTATGCAAGTCCATAAAACCTCACCAATGTGATCCACTTGACTTCCATAAACCCAAGCGACCTTTCCCACCTCACGCTATCGTCATCATCTGTGTTGATGATACATATTTTGCCGGATTTCAGGATTGAACCCTCTACCGCTGTTATGGTTGCCGCAGAACTTAGAGGATTTAGACCGCGGATTAGTTCGTGCTAGCAGAGTGAGGAATGAAATAAGAGAGAATGCTTGCTAATGATTCCGCATCTCCCCACCATCCTAAGTCTGCCCAATAATATAACTCCCCGCCACAATCTCCTCCTCCTCCTCTTC